TAACTCATGCTAACCCTTCTTACTAACTCATGCTAACCCTTCTTACTAACTCATGCTGGCCCTTCTTAGTAGTATGAATTCATCTTCTCGTGCCTGACATCCCCTACTGGCGTCAAAGGTGGCTGACTGATGGATTCGACTGATGAAACTCGACTAAGTTTCTTAGGCATAAAAACAATAGACGTGGTATATATAGCATCAGTAGACGCATTACGAGTTATTGGGGCTCCCACCACAATAACCGTGAACTATTGTGGTTATTAAAATATGCAATTTTAATACAGAATATGTACAAATTTCTAACACATTAAATTGTTTAGATAAAAAACACAGAACTAAATGGTCATTTTAGAATATTTACTAGTGTTAAATTTCAGTAGATGGTATTAAGCTCAACGTCAAAACTCAACACAAAATGACTGAGTCCCGAGTGTGAACAATGTTTTTGTATTCTATAAAATTTTGCAACTAATGTCAATGTTTTTATAGTTTATTACAAAAGATAAAAATTCATTTGATGCTATTTTCCATATTAAAAGAACAAATTTGGAGCCCCACAAGTATATCTATAAACAGCTTAGGACAATAAAAAATGCAAGAATGGTTTCGCCACTAGTAGTAACTGAATTCCACAGAAAATGGAATCTTCAATTTGGCTACAGAACATGGCGCAAAAGCTGAGGGGGTAACTGGGATAAACATTTTCAGCCTGACTCTTCTCACATATAAACATGTGTTTCTTGACCTCATTTTAAATTATATAGTACTGAAAGCTCATTTCCCATAGGAAATATGCTAAGGAACTCATTTTAATACTAGAACGTAAACTAGGACTCCTCATTCAGAATAAATATAAATGTATCAGTCTTCGTGGTGTAGTGGTAAGACACTCGCCTGGCGTTCCACGAGCGCTTTGTCATGGGTTCGTATCCTGGCCGGGGAGGATTTACTGGGCGCAAATCCTTAACTGTAGCCTCTGTTTAACTCAACAGTAAAATGTGTACTTGGTTGTAAAATCGATTCTTCGCGGCGGGGATCGTATTCCAGGGACCTGCCCGAAACGCTACGCGTACTAGTGGCTGTACAAGAATGTAACAACTCTTGTATATATCTCAAAAAAAAAATAAAATACACGAGAATTATTGACTGAACATTTACCCCACCATCAAACACACAGGACTGTTCAAAACCCTAATATATGACCCCCTCACATGCAGACCCCCGTTCTATGGTTTTGCCCTTCATGTCAAAGAACCCCACAGTATCATGCAAATTCAAGTTAAGGTTTACTACACAGATATATCCAACTTGTTCTTAGTATGGCCCTTGACCCTCCCTGTATGCTTGACCTCACTGAGGTATTCATAGGTAGGGGGCCCTATACTGATGACGTCACATCCCTGCGACTAAGCAGGAATATTTCTCCTGATTGGCCAATGACCTCGGGACGCAAAGATAATTTTTATTCTCGCCTCCCAATTGGTCAATAACCGCGCAAGATCCCTCAGGCTATCACTGACCATTACAGAAAATGGAGCTGTGTAAAGGGCTCACTATACTATTCAGTCATGCTTTTGCCCCCCCCCCCCCCCTCCAATACTCGATTCGATTTTTTTTCAAATACTAGGGTAATTTATCCCAAACACATATTCATATTACGATACGAATATGTGTTTGGGTACAGTACATTTGCTGATGAAGGTGTACTGCAGGTGGTATTGTGGGGTGTACTGGTGGTGTTGCTCATGTACTGTTGGTGTTGCAGGTGTACTGTTGGTGTTGCAGGTGTACTGTTGGTGTTGCAGGTGTACTGGTGTCACCTTCAAATTGTAGAGTGTTAGTGTGGCAGCCAATCGTGAGGCAGCTTGACTATTGACATCCTGGTCACGGAGGGCGGGTGCTCCTTACAGTGGGCGAGACAGTGTACTGTGAAGAACTAGAGTAGGCAGACCTCTTGTGAGTTGGATATTGTCTTACCTCTCATTAATAAAGAAACACACTAAGGGGGCCGGTGGCTGACTGAACAACAAGCTGGACTCGTGATCCTCTGGTCCCGGGTTTGTTTCCCGACGCCAGCGAGAAACAATGGGCAGAGTTTCTTTCACGCTGATGCTCCTGTTATCTAGCAATATATAAGTACCTGGGAGTTAGTCAGCTGTCACGGGTTGCTTCCTAGTGTGTGTGTGTGTGTGTGGTGTGGGAAAAAAGTAGTTAGTAACAGCTGAGAGGCGGGCCGAAAGAGCAGAGCTCAACCCCCGCAAGCACAACTAGGTGAATATAAGTAGGTGAATATTTAAGCATCCCAAGTGTATTCTCTACATTCCCAAGTAAGAGCTTTCACAGTATATCCGACCAACAACAAAGAGCCGAAACACTGGTAGCAGCTAGGGATGAGACAAATGTTTTCCCCCCCAGAAGCACATGTGCCACCACCGCCAACCGCCACCATACACTCGGGTATCGTCAATTTTCTTTTTACCAGCCTGAGGTTCGACCATTCACCCATAAAGTAAGGCACGATATTAAGCAGCAAGAAACATTGTTCGTCAGTGAGGGAAGAGAACATTTTTCCGCTCTCTTTTGAGTCTGCGGTGTCTGTGAGCAACCCACCGACACCCGCCACCAGCCTTGTATCTTCGACTGTGATGTTCAAGCTAGTTGCTATGCCAGCTAAGGTCATCGTCATCAGTTGTCACCAAGTTCCATTGTTACTGTTACTGTTACCCATGACGATGGAGGAATGAATAACAGGGTAGAAGTCTGAATAAAGAACACCTTTACGGGAGATGGAACAAGTGTGGATTGCTTCTTTAGCAGTAGCGTCCGAACGCTCATTAAAAGAAACGCCAATATAGGTGAGAACCAGCAAAACTCAACTGTCTTAACTCTGCTGGATTTAAGAAAAAGTAAATGTTGGATTTCGACTACCACCGGATGGAGTGCATATAAAGGACTCCAGAGCCACGAGGACACTGCAAGAGTCAACTACAACAACAAAGGAGGAGTGACAGCGAGAAAGCAGTTGACGAAGAACATACAAAATAGCTTTAAAGTTCTGCCGTGAAGATGTTAGTCTCTGGAGGCCGGCGACACATACAGGTGTGGTCAGGAAAAACAACAGAGTAGTCTACACCGTCTGCAGACTTGGACCCATCGGTCTAAGGAGATGAGAAATATTGGTAACACGAACCGAAAGAGAATCTTGTAAGCGAGACAACCGTACAGAAAGAGGATTCACTCTCTCACAAAATTCTTGGTCGCAACTCGCAGTCAAATTCTCCTCCTCATAAGTTGCCTAGACGCTGGACCGCTCATTGGTCATCTCCCGCTAGACAGTTTTCTCGCTCACCTCATCCATCCAATAACTCATGGCTCCCATATCGTAAGTACCAAAATCAGGTTGGCCTGTTTACACACCACACAGCAGACTATTGTAGAGCTCAACAAAGGTCATCCCCGGCTCATGGTTCCCATGATCAGACTTGGCAAGGCGCACAGCGTCCAAGACAGTACCAGTATTCCCGTAACTACAACAATCACTGCAACTACAATACCAGGTCACAGAACTCTAGAGCTCAGACTGTTCACTCCACGTCGTCGGGGAAACCTCAAAGCCACTTCCCATGCCAGCCAAGGTAGCCAGGCATAGTGCCCTCCTTGTTTATTCATTAGGTACCCAAAATAGATTTGGACACTTGGCAGAGGAAGACACTGAAAATAAACCAGTTTTAGAAGTTGGCGCTCTCTGTACACGCTAAGACTATTGACCCTTCTGGAGGGACCAGAAGGGTCCAGAGGAGAAGGAAGAGAAGGGTCCAGAGGGGGAAGGAAGGGGAGGGACCAGAAGGTTCCAGAGGGGGAAGGAAGGGGAGGGACCAGAAGGGTCCAGAGGAGAAGGAAGGGGAGGGACCAGAAGGTTCCAGAGGGGGAAGGAAGGGGAGGGACCAGAAGGGTCCAGAGGAGAAGGAAGGGGAGGGACCAGAAGGGTCCAGAGGGGGAAGGAAGGGGAGGGACCAGAAGGGTCCAATGGGGATACCAAAATGAAGAAACAGATAGGATAAAGAGGAGAAGAAGGGAAGGGACCAGAAGAGTCCAGCAATGAAGGAGGGGAAGGGACCTAAAGGGTCCAGAGGGGGAAGGAAGGGGAGGGAATGGAAGGGAACAGAAGGGAACAGAAGAGTATATACAGAAATAGAGGAGGAGGGGAAAGGAAAACACTGTAATTGGGTAGTTACGGTGGTAATTATGGGAGGGAATTACTGTGTGCTGTGCGGTGCTGGGGGAAGGGGAGGGGAAGGGGGGGAGTGCGTGGTGGTGCTTGTGAGTGCGGCCTAACTTGTGTCTTGGTGCTGCTTCTCATACCTCTGGTGACCAGCCTCTTAGTTGTTGCACCAGTACCTTTACTCTCACACTCTGCCTCCCAGTTATTGCACCAGTACCTTTACTCTCACACTCTGCCTCCCAGTTGTTGCACCAGTACCTTTACTCTCACACTCTGCCTCCCAGTTGTTGCACCAGTACCTTTACTCTCACACTCTGCCTCCCAGTTGTTGTACCAGTACCTTTACTCTCACACTCTGCCTCCCAGTTGTTGCACCAGTACCTTTACTCTCACACTCTGCCTCCCAGTTGTTGCACCAGTACCTTTACTCTCACACTCTGCCTCCTAGTTGTTGTACCAGTACCTTTACTCTCACACTCTGCCTCCCAGTTGTTGCACCAGTACCTTTACTCTCACACTCTGCCTCCCAGTTGTTGCACCAGTACCTTTACTCTCACACTCTGCCTCCCAGTTGTTGCACCAGTACCTTTACTCTCACACTCTGCCTCCCAGTACATGCTCACTGCATTACTAATAGTAAATCAAGTTAATGCGAGCCGAAATATTACTGTCTCCGCAGAGAATTGATCTGATGTTTACGGGTGTGAAGTATTGTGCAATTTTTATGTTTTTGTAATTCTCGTTAATATTCTCACGCCTGTGAGGCGCCGACCTCCAGGGAAGGTCACCACACTGCAGGAGGTGGAGCCAGGGCCTGGTGACCGACCTCCAGGGAAGGTCACCACGCTACAGGAGGTGGAGCAAGGGCCTGGTGACCGACCTCCAGGGAAGGTCACCACACTACAGGAGGTGGAGCCAGGGCCTGGTGACCGACCTCCAGGGAAGATCACCACACTACAGGAGGTGGAGCCAGGGCCTGGTGACCGACCTCCAGGGAAGGTCACTACGCTACAGGAGGTGGAGCAAGGGCCTGGTGACCGACCTCCAGGGAAGGTCACCACACTACAGGAGGTGGAGCCAGGGCCTGGTGACCGACCTCCAGGGAAGGTCACCACACTACAGGAGGTGGAGCCAGGGCCTGGTGACCGACCTCCAGGGAAGGTCACCACGCTACAGGAGGTGGAGCCAGGGCCTGGTGACCGACCTCCAGGGAAGGTCACCACGCTACAGGAGGTGGAGCCAGGGCCTGGTGACCGACCTCCAGGGAAGGTCACCACACTGCAGGAGGTGGAGCAAGGGCCTGGTGACCGACCTCCAGGGAAGGTCACCACGCTACAGGAGGTGGAGCCAGGGCCTGGTGACCGACCTCCAGGGAAGGTCACCACACTGCAGGAGGTGGAGCAAGGGCCTGGTGACCGACCTCCAGGGAAGGTCACCACGCTACAGGAGGTGGAGCAAGGGCCTGGTGACCGACCTCCAGGGAAGGTCACCACACTACAGGAGGTGGAGCAAGGGCCTGGTGACCAACCTCCAGGGAAGGTCACCACACTGCAGGAGGTGGAGCAAGGGCCTGGTGACCGACCTCCAGGGAAGGTCACCACACTGCAGGAGGTGGAGCAAGGGCCTGGTGACCGACCTCCAGGGAAGGTCACCACACTACAGGAGGTGGAGCAAGGGCCTGGTGACCGACCTCCAGGGAAGGTCACCACACTGCAGGAGGTGGAGCAAGGGCCTGGTGACCGACCTCCAGGGAAGGTCACCACACTGCAGGAGGTGGAGCAAGGGCCTGGTGACCGACCTCCAGGGAAGGTCACCACACTGCAGGAGGTGGAGCAAGGGCCTGGTGACCGACCTCCAGGGAAGGTCACCACACTACAGGAGGTGGAGCAAGGGCCTGGTGACCGACCTCCAGGGAAGGTCACCACACTGCAGGAGGTGGAGCAAGGGCCTGGTGACCGACCTCCAGGGAAGGTCACCACGCTGCAGGAGGTGGAGCAAGGGCCTGGTGACCGACCTCCAGGGAAGGTCACCACACTACAGGAGGTGGAGCAAGGGCCTGGTGACCGACCTCCAGGCAGACCAGATTAAGCAGTTATTGTGTCTAGTATACCCAGTACCACCAGTTGTGTCTAGTATACCCAGTACCACCAGTTGTGTCTAGTATACCCAGTACCACCAGTTGTGTCTAGTATACCCAGTACCACCAGTTGTGTCTAGTATACCCAGTACCACCAGTTGTGTCTAGTATACCCAGTACCACCAGTTGTGTCTAGTATACCCAGTACCACCAGTTGTGTCTAGTATACCCAGTACCACCAGTTGTGTCTAGTATACCCAGTACCACCAGTTGTGTCTAGTATACCCAGTACCACCAGTTGTGTCTAGTATACCCAGTACCACCAGTTGTGTCTAGTATACCCAGTACCACCAGTTGTGTCTAGTATACCCAGTACCACCAGTTGTGTCTAGTATACCCAGTACCACCAGTTGTTGTGTCTAGTATACCCAGTACCACCAGTTGTTGTGTCTAGTATACCCAGTACCACCAGTTGTTGTGTCTAGTATACCCAGTACCACCAGTTGTATACAGTATACCCAGTACCACCAGTTGTGTCTAGTATACCCAGTACCACCAGTTGTTGTGTCTAGTATACCCAGTACCACCAGTTGTATACAGTATACCCAGTACCACCAGTTGTGTCTAGTATACCCAGTACCACCAGTTGTTGTGTCTAGTATACCCAGTACCACCAGTTGTATACAGTATACCCAGTACCACCAGTTGTGTCTAGTATACCCAGTACCACCAGTTGCTATATAAATTATTTTAGGTAATGAGGTGACTTGAGCCAGCGTTCTACTGACACCTAGACACTGCCCTTAATCCACTCGGTCACGACTGAACAAAATCCAAGAGACAGGATCTGTAATGGATTGAGTCACTGGGAAGGTTTCTCAGGTCTTCTGTGGCGCCTTATCCAGTGGGTTCATCGTTCTGTGCATCATTCATTGTATCATTCATTGTATCATTCAGTGTATCATTCATTGCATCATTCAGTGTATCATTCAGTGCATCATTCAGTGTATCATTCATTGCATCATTCAGTGGATCTTTTAAAGAAAATAGTTATTCACTACCGAGAGCCGCGACACAGCGACCCACCACCTCTCATAGTGACACAGCTGCGTGTGGCAGGGTTCAGCCCAGTAACACAGCGTGGCAGAGCCGCGACACAGCGACCCACCACCTCTCATAATGACACAGCCGCGTGTGACAGGGTTCAGCCCAGTAACACAGCGTGACAGAGCCGCGACACAGCGACCCACCACCTCTCATAATGACACAGCTGCGTGTGGCCGGGTTCAGCCCAGTAACACAGCGTGGCTGAGCCGCGACACAGCGGCCCACCTCCTCTCATAATGACAGCTGCGTGTGGCAGGGTTCAGCCCAGTAACACAGCGTGGCTGAGCCGCGACACAGCGGCCCACCTCCTCTCATAATGACAGCTGCGTGTGGCAGGGTTCAGCCCAGTAACACAGCGTGACAGAGCCGCGACACAGCGACCCACCACCTCTCATAATGACAGCTGCGTGTGGCAGGGTTCAGCCCAGTAACACAGCGTGACAGAGCCGCGACACAGCGACCCACCTCCTCTCATAATGACAGCTGCGTGTGGCAGGGTTCAGCCCAGTAACACAGCGTGACAGAGCCGCGACACAGCGACCCACCACCTCTCATAATGACACAGCCGCGTGTGGCAGGGTTCAGCCCAGTAACACAGCGTGACAGAGCCGCGACACAGCGACCCACCACCTCTCATAATGACACAGCCGCGTGTGGCAGGGTTCAGCCCAGTAACACAGCGTGACAGAGCCGCGACACAGCGACCCACCACCTCTCATAATGACACAGCCGCGTGTGGCAGGGTTCAGCCCAGTAACACAGCGTGACAGAGCCGCGACACAGCGACCCACCACCTCTCATAATGACACAGCCGCGTGTGGCAGGGTTCAGCCCAGTAACACAGCGTGACAGAGCCGCGACACACCACGAGCCCGCGGTGCTCTGAGGACTAACAACGCATCAATACAAATTGAAAGATATTAATCCAGACAAGTTCTTTAAATTATAAAAAGTAACGCAAGAGATAACAGTTCCAGGGGTCAACAAGCCACAATGTAAGACACAAAACAGGAAATACTATTCACCCATACGGTAATTCACCCATGGAACCGCCTACCCGCCGACACGTAACTGATCAGATATTACTACAGGTTTTTTTATACAGGAAGGTACAGGAGCAGACGACTGCTGACTAGTGATGGCACACTGAGAGCTCTACCTTCCCATAGCTCACGGTAAGCCTTACCCTACTTTTTACATCGTTTACTAACCAGCTACCCATTCACTGCTGGAAGATAACAGGTGCACAGTTACAAACTGGCGCCTAGTCAATCCTCCCAGGCCAGGATACGAACCCAGGCCAAATACCTTGAGAAGCGCGGCGCTACGGCACTGCTTAAAATTGATATAAACATATATATGGGCACGTCGAACCGGGGACATCCTGTTCGAGTTTACATCACTAGAGATGACATCACCTCAGGTAAGTTGAGGTAAACATACACACACACTAGACATGTAGAACAGCGTGACAAATACCAAGATATTACCGATATAATAAGCCATGAGGCTGCTTCCTGGCGTCGCCACCTCTTCTTGGTGGGAATATTTCTTCACGGCGAGACTGTACCGGGCCAAGGACTGTACCGGGTCAAGGACGGTACCGGGTCAAGGACGGTACCGGGTCAAGGACGGTACCGGGTCAAGGACGGTACCGGGTCAAGGACTGTACCGGGCCAAGGACTGTACCGGACCAAGGACTGTACGGGGCCAAGGACTGTACCGGACCAATGACTGTACCAGGCCAGGTACTGTACCGGACCAAGGACTGTACCGGGCCAGGGACTGTACCGGGCCAAGGACTGTACTGGGCCAAGGGCTGTACCGGGCCAGTGACTGTACCCGGACAGGGAGTGTACCGGTCCAGGGACTGTACCGGTCCAGGGACTGTACCAGGCCAAGGACTCTACCGGTCCAGGGACTGTACCAGGCCAAGGACTGTACCGGGCCAAAGACTGTACCAGGCCAAGGACTGTACCGGGCCAAGGACTGTACCAGGCCAAGGACTGTACCGAGCCAGGGACTGTACCGGTCCAGGGAGAGTACCGGTCCAGGGACTGTACCGGTCTAGGGACTGTATCGGGCCAAGGACTGTACCAGGCCAAGGACAGTACCGGGTCAAGGACTGTACCGGGTCAAGGACTGTACCGGGCCAAGGACTGTACCGGGTCAAGGACTGTACCGCACACACAGTAACTATAACATGAGAGCGGCTTCCTTAACACTCGCGACAATTCACAAAAACCAGGAGAATCAGGTAATATTGCAAGCAGGATAAGACAAGGTGACGAAGACGGGTGGAGCGCTGTGTGGCGCCCGCTTGTGGGGGGGGGGCGAGGGTCCTCTAGTCTTATAGTGCTATGTTCATGGTGAGGCAACTGTGAGGAAGAGTGGTGTGCCTACACTATGTGAGGGAGAACACTGTGTGAGGGAGAACACTATGTGAGGGAGAACACCAACACTGTATGAGGGAGAACACTGTGTGAGGGAGAACACCAACACTGTGTGAGGGAGAACACCAACACTGTGTGAGGGAGAACACCAACACTGTGTGAGGGAGAACACTGTGTGAGGGAGAACACCAACACAGTGTGAGGGAGAACACTGTGTGAGGGAGAACACCAACACTGTGTGAGGGAGAACACTGTGCGAGGGAGAACACCAACACTGTGTGAGGGAGAACACTGTGTGAGGGAGAACACTGTGCGAGGGAGAACACCAACACTGTGTGAGGGAGAACACTGTGTGAGGGAGAACACTGTGTGAGGGAGAACACTGTGCGAGGGAGAACACCAACACTGTGGGAGGGAGAACACCAACACTGTGTGAGGGAGAACACTGTGCGAGGGAGAACACCAACACTGTGTGAGGGAGAACACTGTGTGAGGGAGAACACTGTGCGAGGGAGAACACCAACACTGTGTGAGGGAGAACACTGTGTGAGGGAGAACACTGTGTGAGGGAGAACACTGTGCGAGGGAGAACACCAACACTGTGCGAGGGAGAACACCAACACTGTGTGAGGGAGAACACTGTGCGAGGGAGAACACCAACACTGTGTGAGGGAGAACACTGTGTGAGGGAGAACACTGTGCGAGGGAGAACACCAACACTGTGTGAGGGAGAACACCAACACTGTGTGAGGGAGAACACTGTGTGAGGGAGAACACTGTGCGAGGGAGAACACCAACACTGTGTGAGGGAGAACACCAACACTGTGTGAGAGAGAACAGTGTGTGAGGGAGAACACTGTGAGGGAGAACACTGTGCGAGGGAGAACACCAACACTGTGTGAGGGAGAACACCAACACTGTGTGAGAGAGAACAGTGTGTGAGGGAGAACACTGTGAGGGAGAACACTGTGCGAGGGAGAACACCAACACTGTGTGAGGGAGAACACCAACACTGTGTGAGGGAGAACACTGTGAGGGAGAACACTGTGCGAGGGAGAACACTGTGCGAGGGAGAACACCAACACGGCCTGGAGGCAGGCGCCAGACTTCATATACTGCCGCTCAACGGTCTCCCGCCCTAAACCCACCGCTCCGATTCCTCTCCCGCCCAGCCAACGGCCAGGTTCGCATCCCTGGTCGTAGTCCTTCCTCTATTATCGCTAACGATGGTGATTGCACCTACGACACCACAAACAACCCAACAGCGACCCCACCCCTAGGTAGTTAGTTGTATGTTAATCACCTCGAACGATCAATAGCCTAAGTCAGCGCCAGAGTTTCCAATCCAATCGTCCGCGCGGCGTTGCGGTTGCCATGGAAACTGAGGGCAATTGTTGTGTTTATACTTAACAAGGAACTAACGTCAAGGTTTTCGTAATTACTGTTGGTTGGTAATAGAGATATTTCAAGCGTTGGTAGGTTGGTGGTTGTTAGGTAGTTGACTCACCTGGTGGTACTGGAGTGGTTGTGGGGTGGACTGTGGAGACCCAACATTACCTTTCAGGTCCTGCCCTCCGTTATCTGTGCTCCGTTTTCTATGGTCAGTTAACTGTGGTCCGTTTTCTCTGGCCTGTTAACTGTGGTCCGTTTTCTCTGGTCAGTTAACAGTGCTCCGTTTTCTCTGGCCTGTTAACAGTGCTCCGTTTTCTCTGGTCAGTTAACAGTGCTCCGTTTTCTCTGGCCTGTTAACTGTGGTCCGTTTTCTCTGACCTGTTAACAGTGCTCGATTTTCTCTGACCTGTTAACAGTGCTCCGTTTTCTCTGGCCAGTTAACTGGCCCAAATTCTTAGGCCAGTTAACTTGCCCCGTTTTCCGTGAAACGTTATCTGCTCCCCGTCACCAACACCCGTCACCAACACCCGTCACCAACACCCCCGTCACCAACACCCGTCACCAACACCCCCGTCACCAACACCCCCGTCACCAACACCCGTCACCAACACCCGTCACCAACACCCCCGTCACCAACACCCGTCACCAACACCCGTCACCAACACCGTCACCAACACCGTCATCAACACCGTCACCAACACCGTCATCAACACCGTCACCAACACCGTCATCAACACCCGTCACCAACACCCGTCATCAACATCCGTCACCAACACCGTCATCAACACCCGTCATCAACACCGTCACCAACACCCGTCATCAACACCCGTCACCAACACCGTCACCAACACCGTCACCAACACCGTCATCAACACCGTCACCAACACCGTCATCAACACCGTCATCAACACCGTCATCAACACCGTCACCAACACCCGTCACCAACACCGTCACCAACACCCGTCATCAACACCGTCATCAACACCGTCACCAACACCCGTCATCAACACCCGTCATCAACACCGTCATCAACACCGTCACCAACACCGTCATCAACACCGTCACCAACACCGTCACCAACACCGTCATCAACACCGTCATCAACACCGTCACCAACACCGTCATCAACACCGTCACCAACACCGTCATCAACACCCGTCACCAACACCCGTCATCAACACCCGTCATCAACACCCGTCACCAACACCCGTCATCAACACCCGTCACCAACACCCGTCACCAACACCGTCACCTGCGGCAAACCATCTTCGACCCGCTCTTTCTCCTCTATCATCTCAGGCTCATCAGGGTCCCGGACCTGTCAAGATTGATGCATCACTGCAGTCATCACCGTTGGTCCATCACTGCAGTCATCACCGTTGGTCCATCACTGCGGTCATTACCATTGGTCCATCACTGTGATCATCACCGTTGGTCCATTACTGCAGTCAACACCGTTGGTCCATCACTGCTGTCATCACCATTGGTCCATCACTGCGGTCATCACCGTTGGTCCATCACTGCGGTCATCACCATTGGTCCATCACTGCGGTCATCACCGTTGGTCCATCACTGCAGTCATCACCATTGGTCCATCACTGCAGTCATCACCATTGGTCCATCACTGCAGTCGTCACCGTTGGTCCATCACTGTGATCATCACCGTTGGTCCATTACTGCAGTCAACACCGTTGGTCCATCACTGCTGTCATCACAGTTGGTCCATCACTGCAGTCAACACCGTTGGTCCATCACTGCAGTCATCACCATTGGTCCATCACTGCAGTCATCACCATTGGTCCATCACTGCAGTCATCACCGTTGGTCCATCACTGCGGTCATCACCATTGGTCAATCACTGCAGTCATCACCATTGGTCCATCACTGCAGTCATCACCATTGGTCCATCACTGCGGTCATCACCATTGGTCCATCACTGCAGTCATCACCGTTGGTCCATCACTGCGGTCATCACCATTGGTCAATCACTGCAGTCATCACCATTGGTCCATCACTGCAGTCATCACCGTTGGTCCATCACTGTAGTCATCACCGTTGGTCCACCGTTAGCTTTAAGGTAAACCCAATTAGTTTAAGCAGAGGTAGTGGGAAAGATGAAATAGGTAGCTTCGCATGGATTGAAAAAAAAAAAATCTAATCTGTTCTATCCAGTAGTGGATTAAAGTTTGCACTCACTCTAAATACCGCTCGAGGGAGTAGTTTTTGTTGGAGATAAATATGATATATATATATATATATATATATATATATATATATATATATATATATATATATATATATATATATATATATATATATTAGTATATTTTGGTAGCAGTCTTTCCTGTAGACATATATTATTAAATATGACCGAAAAAGTAAGATTAATAATTCTAACACGAATTTTCTCAATCTTTCGTACATTTCTTTTCACTGTTGGAGGTAAATCAAAAATCAATTCTCCAAAATTCATTTTTATTTCTAGTCTGGCGTGACACGAGCGCGTTTCGTAAAACTTATTACATTTTCAAAGACTTTAGTTCACAAATACACAACTGAATAGAACTTACGCATCTCCGATTTTATATCTACACTTGAGTGAGGTGGAAGGGGTGATGTGGCATTAACACAAGACAGAACAAGAGGTGGCATTAATAGGGTATTAATTTCATCAACACAAGACAAAACAAGAGGTGGTATTAATAGGGTATTAATTTCATCAACACAAGACAGAACACGAAACAATGGGTATTGAATAGAAGTGTTTGTAGAAAGCCTATTGGTCCATATTTCTTGATGCTTCTATATTGGAGCGGATACCCAACAACATGACCTCCCGTCTTTCCTGACCACATACCCTAACACCGGACTCTCACACGCGTCCGACACGCGCCAAACTTCCGGGAAAATTCCCTCCAAAACCCTTTATGACTACGACGACACGCTGCGACTACGACGACGCGCGACACCTGTCCAGCTGGCACTCACGAGTGCCACCTGGGCAGATGGCGCGCGTCGTCGTAGTCCTCAACTTCACTACTCAAGCTGCCCTACAACATGAATGTGAGAGTGAACAAGCTGCCCTACAACGTGAATGTGAGAGGGAACACGCTGCCCTACAACGTGAATGTGAGAAGGAACACGCTGCCCTACAACATGAATGTGAGAGGGAACACGCTGCCCTACAACGTGAATGTGAGAAGGAACACGCTGCCCTACAACGTGAATGTGAGAGGGAACAAGCTGCCCTACAACGTGAATGTGAGAAGGAACACGCTGCCCTACAACGTGAATGTGAGAGGGAACAAGCTGCCCTACAACATGAATGTGAGAGGGAACAAGCTGCCCTACAACGTGAATGTGAGAGTGAACACGCTGCCCTACAACGTGAATGTGAGAGGGAACAAGCTGCCCTACAACATGAATGTGAGAGGGAACAAGCTGCCCTACAACGTGAATGTGAGAAGGAACACGCTGCCCTACAACGTGAGCAAATAGAATTCCAACGAGAGCGTGAACAGGAACTGCTAGAGTTAAAAGAACGTGAACTGGAGATACATCGTGAACACAAGAAGAAACAAGCTGCCCTGATTCTAGACCATCGTAGGAGAGAACTCGACTTGGAAACTACACACCACACTCGGCGCCAACAAACAGAAGCTAACCTTCCCGTACGTTTTAACCTTTCACATGCAATTAAGTTGGTGCCATCTTTTGTTGAGGCAGAAGTAGATGTGTTTTTTACTTCATTTGAGGCTCTGGCTACCCAACTTAGCTGGCCTCAGGATCAATGGTCTGTACTTCTCAGGTCTCATTTAACAGGTAGAGCTGCAGTAACTCTCATTACTATCGCGTCCGAAACTTACTACAAAGTATTGAAACAGGCAGTGCTGGATGCCTACTTCCTCTCCATCGAGACCTACAGACGTAAGTTCAGGGATTACCTTAAAGTAAGTGCTACCACTTACCTAGAGTTTGCCAATAACGAAAAGAGATATTTTATGAAGTGGCTGGAAGCCGCACAAGTCTCCACCTTTACAGATCTCGTCAATCTCATCCTGGTGGAAGAATTCTTCAGACGTGTACCTAATTCAATACGACTCTACCTAGCCAACAAGGAAGAAAGCGATCTTACCAGATGTGCTCAATTGGCTGACTCCTACAGCCTTATTTACAGAGTACCATCCGACACACCATCTAGTAAGACTTCCTGGTTTAGTCCTGAAAAAGTGAGTACCAGTACTGTGAACTCCTCGTTGTATTGCAATTATTGCAAAGACTCTGGGCATACCATAGAGAAGTGTACCAATCCTCACTGTAAGGTCAGCAGTGAAAACAAGCCCAAATCACCTCCTAAAATTCATAAAGAGACCTAAACTGTGATGAATATTTTGTTTCATCCACTGATCTCTCTCTCTTCAACAGACACTTGTACTCCGGAATAGTCTCTGCCAGCCGCGGAGATTCGGAGGAAAGGATCAAAGTGAAGATCTTGAGGGACACAGCTGCTCTACAATCTATTCTTCTGAAGTCAGCTGTACCCAACGTCACCTACACCGGAGAAACTGTCCTCATCACGGACCTAACTGCCACTGCTCCATATCCACTTGCCAGAGTCCGCCTAGATTGTCCGTTTATGCAAGGTGAAGTCCAAGTCGCCATCCGGGAAAAGCCTTTTCCCATGTCAGGAGTTCAACGTCTTCTGGGCAACGACTTGGCAGAAGATCTACAACCTGCAAATTTAATCATCACGGAAGATCCCCAGGTATGTGACTCAGCAGTGGAAGACCCTATCTTGCAGTTGGTTGAAGAGGTTCAAGCAACAGATTCTGACGACGTTTTCTCTCCTGTTCTGGTGATGAAGCTGGCCACAGCTGCTCGCCTGAAACCAACTGCTGGCAGCTGTTCCCCAAGATTCTCAGAGCCTCCAACCGAATCTCACACTACTGGAGTTCCGTAAGTTGCAGAGAGAGAATCCTTCATTAACATCTTTATTCTTACAGGCTGAGGCCAAACCTAACTCTATCCCTGGTTTCTTTGTAGAAAATGGTTCCGGCATTATAGAACCAGGAAATTGAAGGAGAACGACGACTGGGCCAACATCAAACAACTGGTAGTTCCCAACAGCCTACGATCAGATATCTTGCATCTGGTCCGGGGATCTCGCTCACACTACGGCTTCTACAAGACCTACAAGGTCCTGAAACAGGACTACTACTGGCCAGGTATGATTCGAGATATTAAACATCTTGTCAAAAATTGTCACATGTCTCAGATGACAGGTAAGCCGAATGCTCCTTTATTAAAGGCACCCCTGATACAGGTACCAGTGTCTTCTGAGCCGTTCAGTCATACCATCAACTGTGACGAGCTTCTGTCCCAGACAGGCTCCGGTAATGGTCCTTTGTGTTCTATTCCGTGTTCTACCCCTAGGTATTCTACAGCAGTTTCCGTCCAGAACAGTACGGCTGCTAACGTTGTGAAACACCTCGAGAAGCAGTGCCCGCAGTACGGACACCGCCAGAAAAGTCATAACAAGTGTGATACCATCTCCTCCAACGACCTGAGTACGACAACCAACATCACCAAGGTATTGTCTAATCCTTCTCGTTGTACTTGGCCTGACTACAATGGTTCTAAATTCTCGATCTATTCCAACACCAGAAAAGATCCTTCTCTCTACGAACCAAATCCAAATAAACGTGCTCTTCCAGACAACTTTACCAGCCCTCAGCTAAAATATTGTAAGACAAACTTGCCTTCCATTGCATTTGAAAGGCGTAAATCCTTGTCTTGTACTAACTCAAATTCTCGCCCTGCCAGGTATTAGAAAATCTTCAGTCTTCCACCCTGGCGAAAGGAACACCATCACACCGCCGCGAGATGGGATCAGGAACCATAGCTACAATCATCAGAGCAGAGCCACTTCCTGCTCGACGTGCAACACAACGTACCATCCAATCTACTAGGTTACAACTTCAACCTCCCTTCGGACTTCAACATTCTTCGCTCCCTCCGTCAGGATCAGTTCTCCAAACTTTGCTGAATCCTGCATCACCAGGTGAACATCATGTATCACAATCTCCTTTGGTTCCTACTGTTAGCCCAGCTCTCTAATCAGTGCTTGCTACGCTGGGCCTTGCATCAGAGGAACAATCTCCCCCATCTCCTTGGATCACCATTCTCGTCGATCCATTCAGCAGGCTCGATTCTACAGCAAATTCTTACTTCAGAGTCCTGCAGTGCTACCTCAACATCTTCAAGCACCATCCACTCCAGCTTCTGCAGCAGACCCAGTTCACCAACCAACACCTGCTTCACTGGGCCCTGTACCTGCAGAACTTCAACATCACTATCTACTTCATCAAAGGCTCGGACAATATCGTTGCCGACGCACTTTCACGAGTCCACAGGGGTGAACTCATCCTCTCCTACTATTCTACACTCTGCTGCAGTCGAATAGGCAGTAGGAGCAGGCTTTGGGGGAGAGCTGTCACGGTAAAATCACTAGGAAAAGATTCGGCCTGCTCCATCATTACCTATTCTACCCATATCACGTCTATATATTCAAGTACTGTAGCCACAAGAAGAAGAACAACAACAACTACTTCCAGACGTCTAGACAGTGCCTCCAGTCCCCTCATACACCCCTGACCGTCACCCGACCTCACACCTGGGTCACTGGGAGCTCACGCCATCTCAAACAAGCAGTTAAAAGTGAGCCAGTTCATAGTTACCAGTCATCAGCACCATCTGCACGGCCGTCATCATGTATATATAGGTCTACCTACCCCATTACAATTCAGATTACTCCTGAGTGCTCTGCTGAGTAGACCTGTTGACATACCCCAGTGTGGTAACAGAGTTATTCAGTCTGGCTCACAGTATTCTACCACCATATTTTATTTGCACATTAACGTAATGTAAATTTGATTGTTCAACTTGTTTGTTTTGCACACTTTGTATTAGAGCCAAGCCTGGATATTATTTTATGTTTTGCAATTTGTTTAATTTCAGTTTTCTATCAAAGTAAAGTATTTTTAAATGTTTTTTTTCCCTCTGTCTTATCCTACAGTTTAACTTTTTTTCCTTTATTTACTATTTTTTTATTTTATGTGACTGGCATTCCATCTGCCTAGAGACTGCAATAACACCTATTTTTCTCGTCATAATATATATATATATATATATATATATATATATATATATATATATATATATATATATATATATATATGCGAACAAGCCTGAATGGCATTGACTGCCATTCTCATATATATATATATATACTGAAAGAGTGTTGAGAGGATTGGGCTGCAGAATTATTCATGATATAACATCAGGTTGCCTCGCTATATTATTACTGTTGGGAAGCTTTGTCTGAGAAAGTTGGAGGTGGACTCCACATTACCCTACAATACGTAGATATTTGGGATATATACAGTGGCCGAGGAATATAGGCACCACATTACCGAGCGCAACAGAAGCAAAAAAGAGCTTTTAAAGAACAATTATACTACAAAACAGTAACTATTTACCTTTCGAGGGTGGAGGGCGTGGGTGGAGGCGCCGTGAGAGTGAGCGTCACTTCTACTGGAGGAGCCTCTGACGTGGTAACCTTCTCTCACTGTCTCTCCCCCAGGCTCACTCGTGCCTGGCTTCCCCAGAGCAGCCTTCATCCTGCAGGAACACAACACCTTTCTCACACACACACACATTCTCAGTAGCACCAGTGAGGTTATGAATGAAGTAACACTTCATCTACGGTCACTTTAAAGTTATGAAGGAACAAACACATGACCCAAGAACCGCACTTGAAACTGGACCACGCATCAGATCATTAAGCAAACAAGTGAACAACAATGCCACCAGACAGAAGAACAGTCTCCGTGGTGTAGTGGTAAGACACTCGCCTGGCGTTCCGCGAGCGCTATGTCATGGGTTCGTATCCTGGACGGGGAGGATTTACTGGGCGCAATTCCTTAACTGTAGCCTCTGTTTAACGCAACAGTAAAATGTGTACTTGGATGAAAAAACGATTCTTCGCGGCAGGGGATCGTATTCCAGGGACCATAGGATTAAGGACTTGCCCGAAACGCTACGCGTACTTGTGGCTGTACAAGAATGTAACAACTCTTGTATATATCTCAAAAAAAAAAAAAAAAAAAAAAAAAAAAAAAAAAAAAAAAAAAAAAAAAAAAAAAAAAAAAAAAAAAAAAAAAAAAAAAAAAAAAACAAGGCCAACATAAAGAAGAACAACCAAACCACCAGAGTGACCAAAACCACCAGAGAGAACACCACCATTTGAAAGAACAATAATAACAAGTAGTCACCCACACCATCATGGAAAGAAACATTATAATTCTGCCTTACGTCCGTGAGGTCAGCTACTAAAGTCTTCTAGTGCCCAATAATAGAGACAACCAGAGAGAACAACAACATTAAGACCACCAGAGAGAACAACATTAAGACCACCAGAGAGAACAACAACATTAAGACCACCAGAGAGAACAGCAAGACCATCAGAGAACAACAACAACAACAAGACCACCAGAGAGAACAGCAAGACCATCAGAGAACAACAACAACAACAAGACCACCAGAGAGAACAAAAAAGCCATCAGAGAGAACAATAACAAGACCACCAGAGAGAACAACAACATTAAGACCACCAGAGAGAACAACAAGACCACCAGAGAGAACAACAAGACCACCAGAGAGAACAACAAGACCACCAGAGAGAACAACAAGACCACCAGAGAGAACAACAACATTAAGACCACCAGAGAGAACAACAACATTAAGACCACCAGAGAGAACAACAACATTAAGACCACCAGAGAGAACAACAACATTAAGACCACCAGAGAGAACAACAACATTAAGACCACCAGAGAGAACAACAACATTAAGACCACCAGAGAGAACAGCAAGACCATCAGAGAACAACAACAACAACAAGACCACCAGAGAGAACAAAAAAGCCATCAAAGAGAACAACAAGACCACCAGAGAGAACAACAACATTAAGACCACCAGAGAGAACAACAACAATAAGACCACCAGAGAGAACAACAACATTAAGACCACCAGAGAGAACAATAACAAGACCACCAGAGAGAACAATAACAAGACCACCAGAGAGAACAATAACATTAAGACCACCAGAGAGAACAACAACAAGACCACCAGAGAGAACAACAACATTAAGACCACCAGAGAGAACAGCAAGACCATCAGAGAACAACAACAACAACAAGACCACCAGAGAGAACAAAAAAGCCATCAGAGAGAACAATAACAAGACCACCAGAGAGAACAACATTAAGACCACCAGAGAGAACATTAAGACCACCAGAGAGAACAAAAAAGCCATCAGAGAGAACAATAACAAGACCACCAGAGAGAACAACATTAAGACCACCAGAGAGAACAACATTAAGACCACCAGAGAGAACAACATTAAGACCACCAGAGAGAACAACAAGACCACCAGAGAGAACAACAAGACCACCAGAGAGAACAACAACAAGACCACCAGAGAGAACAACAACAAGACCACCAGAGAGAACAACAACAAGACCACCAGAGAGAACAACAACAAGACCACTAGAGAGAACATCAACAAGACCACCAGAGAGAACAACAAGACCACTAGAGAGAACATCAACAAGACCACTAGAGAGAACATCAACAAGACCACCAGAGAGAACAACAAGACCACCAGAGAGAACAACAAGACCACCAGAGAGAACAACAAGACCACCAGAGAGAACAACAAGACCACCAGAGAGAACAACAAGACCACCAGAGAGAACAACAAGACCACCAGAGAGAACAACAGAGAGAATGGGAGGGACAGAGAGGTAGAGAGATACAGAAAAAAGAATATAAGCAAGAATAAGTGTATTATGAATCTAATAAGCGTGCCGTTCACAGGTTCCCACAAGTGACCAAGATAAAAACAGAAAGTAAGTTGACTCACTTGATGAGTAGACGCATTCTACGTAAGTTAGCAGACCCCGACCTGCCCTTGGGGCTCGGAGTCCTCTTTCTTGCCTTTCTGGAGGGCGAGTCCCTGTCGACTGAGGTGGTGGGGTGCATGGGAGATTCTGCCGTCACACTGGCCGGAGGACCCGCCGTCACTCTGACTGGAGACCCCGCCGTCACTCTGGCCAGAGATACCTCCGTCACCCTGGCCGGAGACGCTGGTTTCCTGTCAAACAATATAGGGAATACCATAATAATAATTAAAATTCTAATAATAATTCTAATAATAACTATAATTATAATAATAATTATAATTATAATAATAATTATAATTATAATTATAATAATAATTATAATAACATTACCATAATATTATTTCTACCTAATCATATTGTTAGCGATTCATTAAATAAATAATACAAGTACATAACAAGTAAGGGTCACTGAAGCGAGGTTACTGTCCTATTCTGGTCAGTGTCCGGTTTGACCCATCGCCTCTTACCATGTATCTATGCACATAGTTTTAAAACTACATACACCATTTGTCTGTTTCATTCATATGCTACCCTGTTGTCACATAATTCTTCACATATCTTTCCTGAATTTAAAATTCTAAAACAAGACCTACCTTGTTCAATATTTACAAGACCTTGCTCATGTTCCCACTGTTGATATACTTTATCTTAATTATCTTGATTATGGATGCCCTCGTTCTGTGCCTCTACAGAGAATGCATGCGGAATTCCCTCAACTTCTCCTTGTGTCAAAGATAACGAACGATAGGAAAAGTCTGGTCACTTTATGTTGCATTTTCTTGAAGGACTCAACGTCCAATCTGTGATATCAGTACCAGTAACCAACCACCAATATCAGCGAAGCCTCACCAGTGCCCCGCTTATACTTTAAACCAAAAATTTTGTTTGATTTGATATGTTCGATGGCACTCTGCTGTCTAGGGTACTGTCAGCCATAACCCCAAGCTCTCTTTTGCAAATATGATTTGTCTAAATCTGAATTTTTCATTCATAGACGGTGTCACTCTCAGTGACTTGCTTTGAAATTCATTTGACATTTTTCTGCCCAGTCGCTGCACTGTGATGTGGTCTTTCTGTACATACATCGAGACCTAGTTCGGATGCATTATTCACCCAACTTTCGTGCCGTTCGGAAACATGCTGATAAGAGCTGTAAACCTTAAACCTGTTCACTTTACAGGTTTAACATCCAGGTCATACACATATATTATTGACAACAAAGGGCCCAATATAGGCTATAGGCTCCCTGGAGCACATCACTGGTGATCTAGTAACATTTCTCCACTCTGATTTTACTAAATTAATAATAATTCTCTGTTTTCTATTTCTTAACCTGGCTAGTAAGAAACCACAACTCAGAGTTCTTTATGAAGCCTATGCTGTCAAGTTGTCTTTCTGAATTTGCTATTACAGCCTCATTTAATTTTTCCACTTTCGACATCGGGGTGATTGGACAGTATTTGTTGTTGTTGATTTAGGGGCGACGACCGTGGGATCTGCTGCGCCCCAACGTACCCGTAAAGTGTTAATCGCGAAGCTGAATGGAGAAATGAATGTTGTTTATCACTAGAAACTAATGTGCTTCCGGTAAATAAACACACGAATAAACACGACATATAATGTCGTTCCATATAAACAACATTATATGTCTGTGACCCAAAGCGATATGTGTGCCAGGCGGTGTAACAATATCGGACAGTACTTCTCGGAAGGAAATCTGTCCTCTGGCCTGAGCAACGGGACCACATTGGACGCCCTTCAGGCTGCTGCCTCTATTCTCTATGTTGACTGATTTATTGAAAATACTTACTAGTTGGGTAAGAAAGTGTCAATGTGCACTCTTTTAAACACGACTTAATACCTCATCTGAGCTGTATAATTTAGTTGGTCACAATTTTAAGTTTGTACAATTATATCACATTTATTACCATAAAAGTTGCATAATTATTTGTAAAGATTTGTTATTTTTTAATAGGCAAAGTGATCTACTCTCAAAGTCTACTCTCATTTCGCTCATAATTTTG